AGGTAGACAGCAATAAGACCCAATAATCCCTCTGCTTGCTCTGGTATAAACCACTGTCCACCTCAAATGGTGTCACACAGTGGGAAGGAAGTGAGAATAATCTCCTCTGAAACAGGGGATGAGGGATCCTCTCTTTAGACATCCTGGGTATTTAGCTCTTCCACACAGCTCTTTTATGTGCTGTCCCTGTGGTCCCAGGGTGGAAAGGCTGGTCCCAGGTAGAGACCTAGCCTCCTGGTTTGTTTTGCTGGCTCTACCCCTTGCTCTGAGCAAAGAAGTCAGAGGCAAGGCATTCAAAAAGGGTGGAGGGGAAAGTAGGAACTTCTCAACTCTCTCATTTATACTTTCTTCCCCCACCATGCCAGGATAAAGTTGGCATCTGCTTCTATCTCCCCTCCTTTCATAGGAGTGTGCCTGCCTGAGGAGCCTGTCACTGCTATCACTGCTGGGCATGATGCCCAGGACAAGGCATCGAGGGCATGGTCCAGTCAGAGATGGGGAGGCCTCCTCCTTCCAAAGGGGATGGTTGGGATACGTGCTGGTAGCTTGGATTAGAAGACAGTACCTGGGGAAGGCAGCATGACAAAGAAAAAAAAAGTGATGGGCTCAGAATCAGGTGACCTGAGTTCAAATTCTCCTTCATACACTTACTAGCAGTGTGACTATAGGTAAATTTATTTAATTTCTCAGAACCTTGGTTTGCTTACATGTAAAATGGGGATAATAAATACTTTCATTACTTATCTCACAGAGTTGTTATAAGCAAAGTACATTATAAATCCTAAAGCACTTAGAAATGTTAGTTATTGTTATTATTATTATTATTATTATTATTACTTTCTACATATACATATGGGCCCTTCATACCATATACACATTCATCCATAAGCATAAACAGTTATATGAACAACTAAGCAAATTGATAGATTAGGCAAGATACACAAATGTACATTTCGGTGAAAATCTCCTAAAATGTAGGTCCACATGCTTCTTGCATGTATTCAGGTATATCTGGTTCCCAGAGAGGCAGAAGACATGTGTTGATGTTCTCCTGTCCTCCTCTCCCTCCTGAGCCTCCAACACAAATTAGCTCTGTGACCATGGACAAATCACTTAGCCTCCCAGTACTGCCCCCTGATAATTCTCTAAGACCAGAAGTTTCAGATGAGTTGTTGATTTGCATCAGTGAAAGGAGTTTCCATACAAGAAGTTCCCCATACTGATGAAATATTTTAAAGGTCTGGGCAGAAAAGAAATATGTATGTATGTATGTAGGGACATACTAGGGACAGCTAGGTGGTACAGCTAGGTGGTACAGTGGATAGAGCACCAGGCTTGAAGTCAGGAGTTCAAATCTGTCCTTGAACATTTACTAGCTGTGTGACCCTGGGCAAGTCATTTAATCCCAATTTGCCTCAGTTCTTTATCTGTAAAATGGGGACACACTGGAGAAGGAAATAGCAAACCACTCCAGTATCTTTGCCAAGAAAAACCCATGGACAAAGTCCATGAGGTCACATAGAGTCGGACATGACTGAACAACAATGTGTATATGTATGTATATGTAAATATACATGTATAATATAGCAAATAGATACCCTAAAACTTGTGCAGAAAGACATATAGCTATGCAAACCCAGAAATGATCCCCAGACTCACACAGATGCACACATACTGAGATCTGTAAACACATACTAAAATATACAAACACACAGAGATACCACATGTACATCTGAGCCACTCAGTCTCCAGGGAGATGAACTCTGAAGAATGTCCGGAGCTGGGCCAGCAATGGGGGGGGGGGAAGGATGGGGGAGAGCATGAGGGGGCTGGTGCCTTGCTCTAGAGATGAAACAAGGCAAACCCTCAGCTCCCAAGCCCCAGGGAAGGGGAGGAGACAGGATGTAGAACACCGGCTCCTTTGTGTCTCTTTGCACCCCCCCCCCCCACACTTGCTCCCTAGACTGCCAAACCCCTAAGAGACAGGCGAGTCCAGACAAGGAGGCTAGGAGGGAGGTGGGCTTCAAGGGAAAGGGGGCTGGGGGCATGGGGCTGGTCCCTGTCCTTCTGTAAGGCCCAGGAGGGAGATGAGGACAGGGGAAAGGATAGTGGAGACACATGATGGCTACAGAAAAAAAGGAGTCATTAGGAGCAGAGGAAATTCTTAAGGACAGTCCAGCATTGGCTCCAGACCCTCCCACTCCTCAGCTAGTTAATGGGTGCATTGTATGGACTGTGTACTAGTGGAGGGGAAGTATTTGGAGACCCTCAGTTCTTTGACTCTGCTCTTAGCATGTAGGTCCAGGCATGTTCATATGCATGCATGTGACATGAATTAGCAGGCAAAAGCTACAGCTGGGCCATCATTGATGACTCCTTGAATTTCTGCTTCAGCTCCTTAGTCTATGCTACTCTGAACCCTCTTCTGCCACCTCTCCCTACCAGTTTCTTGAACAGGGCTAAGGGAAGATGCTTTGCCTAGAACTGACCAGGGGGGGATGTCCAAATATCATAGAATGTCAGAACTGAAAGGGATATATTACAGAACATCTAGTCCAGCCCCTTATCGGACAGATGAGGGAACTGAGGCTCAGCCAGGAAGAGGTTTGTCCAAGGTCACACAGGTAGTAAATAGCAGAGCTTTCATGCAAAACCAGCTTTTCTGATTCTAAACCAAAAGCTATTTCCACTACACGACATTGCCTGCTTTATTTGGAGACCTTGATGCCCCACAAAGGTCAGAGCCTTCCCCAAAGTCAGTCAGATTGTTGTGAAGCAAGAATAGATTGATTCATCTTTTGCAAAGGTAGGAAAAAAAGAGTGGGGAACAGGCATCAGAGTCACCTGCACCAACAGGTGAGGAGGAAGGCTAGATGGGGGGGGGAAATCACTGACTTCTGAAGGGCATCAACTACCAATATCAATGAATCAGTCAGATTACTCAATCACAAAGCATGTATTAATCACCTAAAATGTGCCAGGCACTCTGCTGGCCAGAGAGAGAGAGAGAGAGAGAGAGAGAGAGAGAGAGAGAGAGAGAGAGAGAGAGAGAGAGAGAGAGAGAGAGAGAGAAGCAAAAAAAAAAACGGTCCCTGCCTTCAATAACAATAACCCGCATTTACATAAATCTTTCTACAAACCATTGTGTGAGACACAGAATGCAAGTATTATCATCCCCTTTTATAGTTGGGAAAACTGAGTTCCAGGGAGCTTTACTAGAGGATTTGCCCAAACTACAGCTAATAAGTATCAGAATCAAGACTCAAATACAGATCTTTTAACTCCAGATATAGCACATTGACTCCTAATGGAAGGGAAGAGTTGATCAAAAGCCTCAAAGGTATGTGATCAGAGAGAGAGTCAGGAGCCTGAGAAAAGGAAAAAAACAGTCAAAAGGGAGTAGAGGGTGCCTTCTATACCAGCTCACCACACACTGAGAGAACCTAGATGGTTTTGTCATTCCAGCCTTTTCTCCACAGAGTCTGACTTGGTTCTGGGTCCTATCTCCACCCACAACTCCCCCTTAACTTGCTCTTTTTCCTCCCATGCTGGCCAAAGGGGAGAAAAGAGGCTGGATTCCGTTTCTGTGGCAACCAAAACCTGTACACAACAGCAGAATCAAGGAAAAACCCTTGCCCACCCTGGTAACTATAGAAATCGGGGGCTCCGTTTTCAGGGTTACCAAACATTTCACTCTGCCATGGATACTCTGTTGCTATAGGAAACAGTGAAACTGATGCCAGTCCCCATGGCAACCAGGATGCTGCTGTTGGTTCTCCAATATTGTCACAGGACAGGAGTATATCTCCCCCACTTCCCTCCTTGTTGTTTTGGTAACCGGCACCACCAGACCCTGCTGCTGCTTTGCCAGGAGATCTCTCCTTTCCACAGAGGGATGCCCAGAAGCCCAGGCTCTGGGTGGACAGCTCCCAGTGGTGCCTAGCTCCTTCTCATTCTCCCACAAACACCATCATTGTTCCCATTCCTAGCTGCTCCAGCTGATGCTTTTTGCAGCTGTCACGCCACCTTCTCTAGTGCCCTTTGACAACTAATGATGTAACTCCACCGCTTGTCTGGGGCTGTGGGATGACCAGGAGAAGAGAGAAGGCTGAAGTCGAGTAGGAACAGGCGTTAGGCGTGCAGTAAGAAAATCTGGGTTCTAGTCAGCTATGTGACCTTGTACAAATAATTTTCTCTCTCTCAGCCTCAATTTCCTCAGCTGTAAAATGGGGATAATCACAGTGATACTTTTAGCATGGTATAGTGGATGGAATACTGGACCTAGAGTTAAGAAGGATCCTTGAATTCTACCTCTAACAATCACTATGTGACCTTGGGTAAGTAAGGTAACTTTGAGCTTCAGCTTTCCTAACTTGTAAAAAAGGAGTACCTATTTCATAGGGCTGTTGTGAGATACAAATGAAGTAATACATGTACAGCACTTCGCAGAATTCAAAATTCTACATAAATGCCAGCTATTATTATTACTACTATCTCATAAGGCTTGTTAGGGTCAATTGAGAATGTATATGCACTTTGTAACTTGGAAGAGGCTGATACAATCCCAGGTATTGTTATCATTGCTATCACTATTACTATTATTATTATTATTATTATTATACTATTATTATTATTATTATTATTATTATTATTATTATTATTAGAAGAAGAAGAAGAAGAAGAAGAAGAAGAAGAAGAAGAGAAGGAAGACTGGTGACGGGCAGAGAAGCTGAGGTCAGGAGTAGGTAGAGGATTTTTTCCCCTTCCAACCCTGGATATCTCTTCCAGCCTGATAGGCTTTGCACATATACACAAACCTCCCTTAAATATCCCACCAATAAGCCCCACCCCCAGAAGTTTCCATGACAACACTAAGACTAGGATTTTACCAGCACCTGAACCTCAATCCTATTAGAACCTACCTTTTAGCTCCCTTGCCCTCAACCCCTCTCAATCAATCAATCAATCAGCAGGTTTGGGGATGCCCAGGGTGGGCTTACCCTGGGTGAGGCGGGTGGGCTGGTGGATAGGGAGTCCATCGATGGTGCAGGCATTGCCACAGGGGTACAGAGTGAGGGTCCCTCGTAGGTTCTCGATGTAGCAGTGTTCAGGTGCTAGGCCAGGACCTTGTAGTGAGATATCCTTAGCAGCGGAGCCAATCACTGTCCTTCCTAGGGGAGGTGGGGAGGGAGTAAGGAAGAGAAGTTAATGGTGTTTGCCCAAGGATAGGCAGGAAATAGCAGAGACCCAGAACTAGTACTATATGCTTTCCTCCTGCTTCCTCCTCTAAAAGGGAAAAGAAGCAATAGTAGAGCAAAAGATATCTACACATTCCCTAATCTGTGCCCCTTCTTTTGTTAGGCAGAGTTGGCACAAGTAGCAAGCATCCTCAGAAGGGGAGATGATACCCTGGATCAGGGAGGGAAGGACAGGGAAGCCCAGACATAAGCATCATTAATAGCAGCACAGGCTCAATCTGGGCCCGAGGAAGATGTAGAAATGGACTGCTTTCCCTTCAAATAGACTCCTCTCCATTTTCCTTCCCCAGCCCCTCCCTGGCCTGGGCTGTCTCTTCCTAGGCCTTCCCTCTCCCCTCCAAACAAGCCCCAGCCCTTCTGCACTTCTTTGTACAAGCTCCTCTTCTACTTTGTTCTTCCTTTCTTCCCAGGGTCCCTTCCTTCCCTAGCTCTCTCTGTTCTGCCACCTTCTACCCTGTTCCTCCCTATCCTTTGTCACTGCCCTCACTCTCACTTTATTTGCTCCCTCCTCAGACCCATGGTCTCCCCCTCACAGCTTCTGCACACCTACACCGCTTCCCCATGCCCCACCCCTACCAGAGCCCCTGGGGCTGGTATTTGGAGAATGCCAGGAATGTAGGATCACCCAGGCAACAAGTACAGCTCAGGAAGGAGAGAGGAGGAGGAAGAGAGAGGAAAGGAGGGACAGAGCTAGAGGGCAAAAGAGATGCTCTGTCAGGGCCTCTCCTCGGGAGCTTGCCCCCAATTCACCCTGACTCCCTGTTTATACCTTCTCTCTGGAAACTCCTAGGATAAGCTCCTCCTCCTCTTCCCCTACCAGAGAAGGATCTCCCATCCTTCCAACCCCCAAGTCCAAGGACCAATGGGTCCTTGCTCCTCTGCTGAAGCTCTACTTTCTCATTTGATTTTTAGTCCTAGCCTTCAGAGAACTAGATTATCTGTCAGAGGATAGGTGGTTAGGGAAAAGAGGAGTGGAAAGGGAGAGGGAATCAGCAGAGGAGATGAACTGGCTGAAATGGAATGCATCGCCCCCATGTTTCCCAGCAGGGCGTGGGAGGTGGGGGACACCACTACGCTATTCTTCATTTCTTGGGGATGGGAAAAGTACCTATTCTCCTGCAGCGGCTCCTGGACCTTGAAGCCGTCATGATTATGAGGTTGGGGGGTGGTTTGTGGGATAACCTGGCAAAGATGCCTTCTGTTGACTCACCTTCTTCCAGGGGCAGAAGGGTGATAGCAGTGCTCAGGCGCCCACTGCCCAGGCTCACCAGGTGTGGCTTGTCTGTCTGCACCTTCAGCCCCTTGCCTGTCTCGATTAAATCCAGGGGCCCATTCTGGGAGGAAGGAGAAGGGACACCAAACCTCAATCTAAGTTCTTACTGCTTTGCCTATCTATCCTTCAACACCCAAAAAAAACATTCTCCCCTCCCTCCCCAAATAGTTTATCTCACTGCCTGTTCCATCAGCTTCCTCTTTGTATTAGCTGACCTGTCTCCTCTTTGTTCAGTAGGGTAGAGATAACTGGGGAGTCAGACACCTAGGTGGGAGAGATCAGACCTCAACAAAGCCCCAGGGAAGGTTGAGATGGACCTAGTTCAAGACCAATTGCTTCTAATGGAGTACACACAGACATTGGAATCATAGGATCATATGAATCAGACCTAAATTTGAGTCCCAGGTCTCTGATATTTATGAGCTTTCTTGAGCAAGTCACTTATACTTATCAATCTGTCAACATTTATTAAGTGAGCACCATATCCCTGGTACTGTGCTGGGTTCACAAAGACAAATGAAGTCTCTGACCTCAAGGAGCAGGCTGCTTTGAAGGTGATTTGGGGAGATGGGGCACTACCTCATATTACCTACCTTATCAGGCTGGTGTGAGAATCAAATGAGATGATTCATGCAAAGCTTACAGGCCTTACAGGGCCATGTAAATTTAGCTGAATTATGTCATTTTTCAGTTACATCTGACTCTTTGTGACCCCATTTGGGGTTTTCTTGGCAAAGCTATTGGAGTGGTTTGTAATTTCCTTCTCTAGCTCATTTTACAGACAAGAAAACTGAGGCAAATAGTTAAGTGACTTGCACAGGGTCACACAGCTAGTAAGTGTCTGAAGCCAGATTTGAACACAGGAAGATGGGTCTGCCTGACTCCAGGCCCAGCACTCTATCCACTGCACCACCCAGCTGCCTCATATAAATCTGAGCTTGCATTATATAAGCGTTAGCTATTCTTTTCTACCTGTGAGGAAAATGCTTTGTCAAATATAAAGTGTTATATTAAATGAGTTATTATTACTATATTATCAAATTACCATATTATCTGCACTTAGGAATAAGGGCAGAGTAGTGAACAAAGGGCTAGTCTCAGAGTCTGGAAGACCTAGGTTCTAGTACAGCCTCTGAGAAATACCCTCTATATGTATATATGTTATCTCCCCCTTCTTCCTGAAGTCAGAGGCTGATTCGTAATCATAATATGTCTTTGTGTCACCAGAGTCTAGCAGAAGGCCTGGCACATAGTAGGCATTTAATAAATATTCATTGGTACTTGCTGTTCAACCGAAGCATCTTACCTAACCTCTCAGTGCCTCCAGGCACTAAGACTACAAGCTGAAGAACAGATGCTTGCAGTGGTAAGGAAAGGTCCCCAGGTCTGGTCTCAGGAGACTATAATTCCTTATGGGCAGGTGCTGTTGGTTTATTTGTGGCTTGCACATAGTAGGTATTATTTATTGAATTAAACTGGGACCTGACCAGCATAGCTGGGTAAATGTGTAGGGGGAGAGGGGAGGAAGAAGAGGGGGAGAAAAGGAGTACATGGCACAAAATGTCTTCCAACAGTTCAAAAAACACCTTGGAAGTGAGTTCCAAGTCTTTTCTAGGGATATTCTATGGGTGAACAATTTAACCAGATTAGATTGAAGAGCAAGCTCTTAATAGGATTTTAAGGCTTGGGGCAAGAAGGCAGATTCACTATTAAGCTCTCCTCCAGCTCTAACCACCAGTCCTTTCTTCCCAGTCCAGAGACCTGGTGGACATAAGAGCAAACCCAGTCCTTGCAAACTGCCAGTCTTACCTCTCAGTCTACCCACCCCAGACTCTACTTCTCCTGCATCCAAACCCCACCTGGTAACAACTCACCTGGACTCTGGTTTGGATCTTGCGCCCAGAGCTCGCTGTATTTCTGTTGAAAGCATCCATGGCTTTGTGTTTCCAGAATTCCTAGGGGTACAGAAAAGGAGAGGTTAGGCTAAAGGTGCCAGTGGGGAGAAGGAAAGAACAGATAGTATGGATAAGATTTGTGCCCATCCCCAGGCAAGGGTCTCAGGACATGGAGACACTCCAGAGGCTGTTCCTTGTGTCTTTACCCCTGCAGAAAAGCAGATGCAGCCAAAGAGAAGCCCAGAGGAAAAGAACACAATAGCACTGCCCATTCTTCAGTTACAGATCATAGCTACCCCTAAACTAAGTCTTCTGTATCATCAGCCTGGGCACTCACACAGACATAGGAACATCACATCAGGATGCCCTGCTTTCTCCTCAGTGTCCTGTCCTTGATCTGTGTACCCCTTTCTTGGTCCCAAGACCAAGAACGAACAGTACCAGGAATCTACTGTACCATGGTTGCTTGTCTTGGCAACTTGGAATGCCCAGATCTTCAAACAATTGGTGCTGAGGATAGGTGTGTTGGGGCAGCTAGGTGGCACAGTGGACAGAATACCAGGACTGGATTCAGGAAGACTCATTTTCCCTGAGTTCAAATCTGGCCTTAGACACTTACTCTGGACAAGTCACTTACCCTTGTTTGCCTCAGTTTCCTCATCTGTCAAATGAGCTGGAGAAGGAAATGGCAAACCACTCCAGAAAACCCCAAATGGGATCACAAAGAATCAAACAGGACTGAAACGACTAAACAACAACAGTGGGTGCGTAGAAAGTAGGATCTTTCAAGGGAACTGTACCTTTCTGAGAACAGGAACTTACAGAGGCTCTTTCGGAACAGGTGAGTGACACAGCTAAGACTGTGGCAGGAAGGGAGCTCCCAGCTCCCTCTCCTAGCCCCTCCCTCTTTCCCTTTGTCTCCTCTCCCAGGGGTCTCAGGAGGATCTATTTTCTTAAAGGGGACACAACAGGAACAATTAGTTTTCCCTGGCAACTCATAAACATACTCCTGGCCCAGGTACTATGATCTATCCTCTAAAAAAAAAAAAAACTAAAAAGTAAAAAATTCATCCCATTCTTACTCCCAATCCTTTCAGTCCTTCCCCCAACCCCAGCAACAAAACTCAGTGGGGAGATACTGGGATTATCATGACCAAATATACAAACTGACTGGATAACATGGGGGCCACATAGATGCACTGGGAGGATGAAGGCTAAGTGTTTCCAGGGTATAGCCATTCAATATACTATATCCTCTCCAGGATAAAAGATATATGCTTTCCTCTTCCATACATATTTGTCAGGAACCAGAGCTATGTAGAAACAAATATATGTGCTGATGGCACACACACATACATCTATGCTTACTTGCGTGTTCCTTACACAATCTGACAATGGCAAAAAAAAAAGTCCTTTGTTTAATGTTATTGAGAAAAGTTAGAGGTGGAAGAGAGAGGAAGGGGAAGTTGGGGAACCCAGATCAGTGCCTCTAGCTGCCTTTCTCTGCTAGCCAACAATCAGCCAATTTGGAGAGGAAGCAGCAGCAGGAGCCAGGAGGAGCTCAGCCTCAGCCTCTGGCATGGGGGCCGAAAGGGCTAAACCAGGGGTGTTACTAATTTTACCCTCCTGGCTCCCACCCTTCCGGGCTCGGACTGCAACGTCACCGTTTCCACCCAAGCTGGAGGGAATGAGTCTGGAACTGGCCCTAGGACCCACCCCTGGACTAAATAGCAAGAGAGAGCATGTATAAGAGGTTCAAGCAGACAGTGCAACCCCTACGATGCCAGGCTATTGACCAGTTTCTGAGGACTTAGACCACTGTTGCTCCCTTCCTCTCGCTATCGCTATCAACCTGAAGCTTAGCTTCTGCCTCAGGCCAGGGGTGATTTTAAATCCTCAAATATTCTCTGTGAGAGTCCCTGTTGTGTGGGACCCCCAAAAGGCTGGAGAGAGTGTGATGGATGGACTGTGCTGATAGGGTAGGAGGCAGAGAAATTAAATTAAAGGTAAAGAGAGGTGAATAGAAGATTCATCACATAGATGCTAATGCTGATGGAGAAAGATAAGGGCAGAGGAAAGACAGGGATAAAGAGAAGTATCATGGAAAGAGAGATAAGAAGTAACAGCGTACAGAGAGAGCCAGAAGAAGATAAGGTAAAGGGAAGAGGGGAATTTGGAAGGTGAGATGATGTGACTCAGAGGCTGATGAGATCCTGAGACATGGAATCCCCTAGAAGTAGGAAGAGAAACAAGATGAAGTGGACCTTTTACGATAACAGAGCGTTTCTCTTCACTCCAAAGTAGCCTCACTAGATTGGGGTGACAGCGCTAGACCTCTCCAGACCCCGCCTATTCACTGTTTCTGGGGAGTTTAGCCAGAGGAACCCGAGGGTGCCCCCTGCCGGTTGACTCCCCCTTAGGGGAGCGCTGCAGCTCCAGACCCGTGGCATCGAGTCCAGCTGGAGCCCTGAGGGCTGTAATTACCCGCCCCACCCCTTCTTCTAAGGCCTTTCTGGGAAGTACAGCTAAGTCCCGCAGCCAAAAAAAGGTTCTTGTGGTGTAACCCAGGCTCGGTGTGAGAGTGTGTGTCGGGGGGGGGGAGGACCAGGGAGGGGGACCCTTGCCTGTAGCTGCTTCTCAACCCTAGATCGGGCGTGGCTCCCTGGGGGAACCCCATGCACCTCACCCTGACCCACAAATTCCCGACACAAGGAACTGGTACTCTCTTTGGGCTCAGGTTAGCTGCGATTTGTTGCTGTTGTCAGATATTTACTTGGAGAATACCAAGTGATCTGGGTGAACCCTGTAGAATACGAGCACCGGCAGACATAACCTGTAGATGCTGAACCGGTTCCAACAGCCGACCACTCAATCATTTTGAAGCCCAGCCGACCCAGAGAGGGTACTGAAACCCAGGCAAAATGCTGTATGTAGGTACCAACTGGCAACTCCAGAGGCGGGTCTTTGAGGGTTTTGAGTGAGGCCCCAGATCTCTCTCCCCATTCAAATCAACCTGTCTTCCCCCCCCCAGTCGGGGTCCGGAAAGAAGGGGCTCTCTGGGAAGGCGAGACAACTCAACCATAACTCCTTGGGGTCCCCAGGGTTCTTGTTCGGCATTCTCTCCTCCTCAAGAGAAAGTGAAAGGTTTAGGTGGCCTGGGGTGGGGGTGGGGGGTGGAAGAACAGGATGGAAGTCAGACTTAGGAAAGTCAAACCTTAATTTAAAAAAAAAAAGAATAGGTTCCATAGGTCAGTGATGTAAATCAAAGACAAAGAAAGGTAGAAAGAAAGAAAGAAAGAAAGAAAGAAGAAAGAAAGAAAGAAAGAAAGAAAGAAAGAAAGAAAGAAAGAAAGAAAGAAAGAAAGAAAGAAAGAAAGAAAAGAGACGCCAAAATCGGGGAGAGACCCAGGTGCTTTTCCTTCATTGTTTCTTGGGGCCAGGATGGCCGGGCTTGGATGTCTGCTCCCTGAGTGACCTCAGCGCCTGCTCTGCTCTCTAAACTCCCCAACCTTCCCTTAGCGACTTCCCCCGCCCTTTACCTGTCCCCGAGGCAAGTAACCCCGTTCTGGCCCCGATCGCTGCATGGCAAGCCAAACTGCTGGGTTAAGCTGCACTCCAGCCAGCTCCGGCCTGGCCAACGCCTCCCCTCTGTCCCTACCGCGCACATCCGCTCCCCAGGCCAAGGACCGGCCCAGCAGAGGGAGGAAGGAGTCTGGAGGGGAAGGAAACTGAGGCCGGGGCGGAGGGAAAGGGGGTGGGTGGCGGAAAGCGAGTATCCGCCTTTAGGACACTGGACAGGAACGAAGAGGAGAGCCTGGATGGGGAAGATGAGGCCCAGAGGGACAGTGCGGGAGATGGAGGGACAAGAGGGCAGCAGGAACCGACAAAAAGAAATCGGGGGTATTGAGAGAGCGAGTGAGGAGCTGCGAAATGAAAACTAAGGTACATAGAAGAGAAGACAGAGAAGGAATGTGATGTCTGAGAAACTGAGGCGTAAAGAGAGAAAAGACCTGAGGCTCAGAGGGGGAGATAGAAGGGAATCTTGAACTGCGGCCAGTTTATTGCTTTCTTGGGTTGCTTGGTTGATTCAGGTTGCCTGAGGGGGGGAGAGGAGAGTGGACGTGAAGCCAAACCACTGTAGCGTCGGCTCCCCAGGCCTCCAGGTGCCCGGGCACCTGGTTCTGCTTCCCCAGCTCTCCCTCTCTTCGTCCCTCCCCCCTTCCTTTTCTTCCACTCTCACTCTGGGCAAGGGGCTGTGCAGTGCGTCCCCCTCCCCTTCCTAGTTCTGGCCCGGGACAAGGAGGCTGTGTTGGGACCTTAGCCGCAGCCGACCCCGCCCGTCCCAGCTCCTGGACAAGAGTTCTTTCTTCGGCTCGGCCCGGCAGGGCTGTGGAGAAGGCGCCGCTTGTTCGGCTGGGAAGCAGCCTGGCCTGCCCGGGAACTCAGGGGGAGGGGGCCGGGGCTACACGCCCCTACGCCAGCCGGCTAGAGCCAGACTCCCTCCCGGGTAAAGGCAAGCCTACTGCCTCCGGCTGAGGCTCGTGCGAGGTTAGGAGAAGCGATCTGTCTGTTTCTGCGGCCCCTGGGGGGTTAGACGTCTGTTTCTGCTTGCGAGTACGAGTGTTCGCGGCTGCCCCTCTCCCGCCCCCGCCGCCGATGAGTCAGTGCTAGCGAGTCGCCCGGACAGCTGAGCTAACCCGGCCAGAATGTGTGCCGTCCCGCCTGCCTCCTGGTCGCCCACCCAGGTTTCCTCCGCCCAGATCCCCCACTCTGTTCTCCCACCCCTCAGTCGGTGGTGTGACTGTCCAGTATTATCACACAACCGCAAGGCAGGGTGGGGCCGGGGTGGAGAGAGAGGAAGTCAACCTAAGACCCTCGGCCCAATTTTATTGTGTTCCCATTTTGCTTCTGGGAGTCTCATCTGGGTCAGGGCGGCTCCTCTAAAAGCTCGAAGACAACTCCTGGTTTTCTCCCCGCCTCCCTCTCCATCCTCCAGAGAAACCCTGGCTCACTTGGCTGCTTGGTCTGCTGCTTCTCCAGTCCTAGGGAAGAATTAGGACGAGATTCGAACCCAGGACTCAGGAGGCATCCTTGGCTAGAGAAAGTCTTGAATCCCTACAGCTTTGCCTCCCAAGTAATTCCAGGATTGGGTCCGTCTGCGGGAGAATGTCCAGAAAGCTCAGACCCGCTTCCCAAATGACATAGAAAAACCAAGTGTCCCAGGCCTCCCATTGGAGCACAGCCTATAAGTCAGCAGCCTCCACCTCAGCTCCCCAACTCTTCCCTCTCCCCTTCCTGGACTCTGTCCTGGATAACTTGGTTTAACTGTAGGAGTAGGGCCATAGGGGAAAGCCCTGGAGGAGTTTCCCTACTAAGTCCTATCCCGATCCCCTGGGATTCCTGTCTCCCCTTCAGCCCTGTCATTGGCCGCGTAGGAGGGTGATGAGCCAGCTAGGAAAGAGAAGTGGCTGCCCCCGAATCCCGCCTCCTCTACTGCCTTCCCACACCCCAACTTCTTTTCCTGGCCAGTCCCGGGGACCAAGCCTTAGGGTTGAGGAATCCCATTCTGGCTTCTGTCCCTTTCCTTTACGTCCACCTAGAAGCCAGAGTCCCCAGGGCAGGCGAGTACCTCGAGCGAAGTTGGAGGGAAAAAGGCGGAGCCTTTTAGAGGTCCGGATACCCTCCAGGTGGGCGGGGGGGGGAGCGAGGGATCCCTCTAACAGTGGCGGCGGCGGTGGCTTTTCTTGACGCCAGGGTGGGAGGAGTGGGACCCTCCCTACATACAGACAAGGCAGGCTCGGTTCTGGGTCAGGGGTGGGTGGGTGGAGGGGTGAGGAAAAGAGGCCTGAGCTCTTTTATAAAAACACCTCCTCTACCCCTAGGACTCCCTTCCAGGGCTACTTCCTGCATCCAAGACCTGACATTTCACCACCCTCTTCCAACTCCCCAGTCTCAGATGGGATAAAATAGGAGGGGGTGCCCCTACCTGTGGGAGGGAGAGCGGCAGTGTCTTCTCTTGCCTTGGCCCCTTCGAATTCCAGTGCCAGGACGCGGTTGTTTCTCCCCTTGAGCGCTGAGAGGAGGAGAGAACTCCGGGACCGCCCCCCAAGCCAGGACCCGCCCCCCCATCTTGGTCTCACCCCCACCCCCCACCCCAGGCCAGAAAAGCCGTCCTTGTTGTAGGGTTGGAGTCTGAGGCACCCCCCCCTCTTCCTGCAGCTGCACCTCCCTTCTGCTTTACAGCGTTGGCTTTGTTCTCTACAGCTGGGCTCCCCCCTCCTGCTTGGCCTCCCCCCATTTTCCCAGATCACCCTTCCCATCAGTTAAATAATGATGCATGGAGGGGTACATTTGAGAGCTCCAACTTGTCCCTATCTTATCCCCAAACTTCTGTATCTTCTATCCCTTCATAAATCACCATTTATTTTCCCCCCAAGACTTTTGCTTGTCTCCATTATTCTCCTCAGACCGACTTCCAGTTCATCAGTAACTGCAGGATTCAGGTGTCCTTGTCCCATGTTCTCACTCATCCAGTTCTGAGCAGCCAAACCTGAGGGGTCAGAGATGTCTCTCTTGCTGCAGCTCCATACCAAATCTGCTAAATTAGAGTTGTAGTCCTGATAGGGGGTGGGGAACACCACCCAAGATGGGTTGAGGGAAGCTTGGTGAGGAAAGGAAGTGGAGCTGGAAACCCGAGAACAGTCTAGACACGGAACCTGGCTGGAGCTGTTACCCTAGGAAACCCAATGCTAGCCTAACACAGTAGATCCTCAACGGAGAGCATAGCCTTTGCAAGGCAGACCCCTGATTATGGGACTTGTAAATTCTGTCTCCCTTCTCCCAGGAATCTCCCTCCTCTCCTGGAAACTTTTGGACAGAGATGAAAAGGTGTAACATGCACAAAATGTTTTGTTCCAAAATTGAGACCCCACCCCCAGCCCCAAATGGAGATAACCACTCTGACTGAAAGGCAGGCTTTGTCTTTCTACTCAGGAACAGAGGGAAGCCAAAAGCTCCAGACTCAGTTGCTGGTCCAACAGTTCATCCCCCCCTCCCCCAAGTCCCATCCCTTCCCACACTCAGAACAGGAGGAGGCTGGTTTGTTGGTCACTTATTAACAGGACCAATGTCCAGCAGGGAGCCTCCACCGCCCCCCAGGCTGCATTTGACTAGAATTGGGTAGTTTGAGAGTCGTGTGGAGGAGGGGAGGGCAGCGATTGCTTTTCACACCCTACGTGACCCCTACTTCTTGCCACTGGCAAGTCACTTGTGTGTTTTGGGCAGAGACTGTGTCCTGCTATAGACAGTCCCTATGGAAGCTATGCCATGTGAGCTGAACGTTCTCCACACTGTGAAGGATGGCCCTCTCTTGTCTAGCAGGCTTAAGGAAACCACCTAACCTCACTTCAGCAAAGAAATGCTAAGGAACTTTCAACTCATCCTAACCGGATTGAGAGATCTGTGTGATGCCAATAAAGTCATCACCTTCAGAAAAAGGGCCTGGGTTGGAAAAGTCAAGTAGCTGGAGAACAAGCACTGGACTTGGAGGCAGGAAGACCCGAGTTCAAATCCCTCCTCAGACACTTACTGGTTGTGTGACCCTGGACAAGTCACAACCGCTCTCTGCCTCAGTTTCCTCATCTGTAAAATGGGGATAAAAATAGTACTGCCTCCCAGGATTATTGGGAGGATAAAATGAGATATTTGTAAAGTGCTTTGCAAATCTTAAAATGTCACATTATTGTTGGCTATTATTATTACATTATTATAGATGGAAGCCAGGGGAACCAGAACATAGATTGATTGGGTCCCTTCATGAGACCTTGGGTATTTAGAATAGCTCAATTCCTCCCTGTTCCACCCTTTCTCTTAAGGCAGAGGCAGCTCGAGGAGGAGTCTCTTCCGGCTGCTTCAGGGACAAATGAATTGGCCACAGAAGTGGCTGAGGCAGGGGTTCAGGCAGGGCTGAGCAGCAGGCTCCCCTCTCCCTATCCTCCCGCCCACCCTCGGCCGGGCTGACCCCATGACAAAGGCTCTGTGCAATGTGCCCTCTCATCTCCCACTGGGGCCAGGCTCTAGGTTCCCACAGTTGTAGGGCTGAGAGGACTTGACACCCTCCCTTCCTCTTGCTTTCCCCCACCCCAACCTCCACATCTGGAGCCCATCAAACCCAGTACTCTCAAAGTTATGCAAGAAGCTGCATAACGGCTTGGGGTGGGATGGGGGGGGAGCAAAAAAATGGTTTTTTTTTCCAGGCGCTTCAGACTTTCCAAAGCGGAAGCCGGGGGAGAGGGCAAGGACTTTGGGGAGGAGGCCCTCTACACTTGGCTTTGAGTATTGGGAGTGGGTTCGTCAGTTTCCATACCAATTTTGCTCCTGCCTTGGCTTTTTCCCACCTCCCTTCTCTGAAGTCTCTGTTATCCTAGCCTCAGAGAAGGAATGACTCCCATGCTCCAGGGCAGAACCTTTATACATACAAAGACTCTATCAGAAGCTTCTAATTCCCTGATCCTTTCACCACTGGCATAGGTCCTGTTGGTAGTAGGTGTGGTGGCAATGGCTTCTGCTCCAAATAACTTCTCTCTCTCCAGCTCCAAAGCAGTTCAAACCCTGCTGAGCAGCTCTGAGAAAGCTGGGCCAAACACTTCCACCTGGGCCATAACACTTCTTAGCACGGCTGTATTCTAAGGGAAGGCAG